CCCATAGAAGGAGAAATGGCTGCAAGGTTACTGCTCCGCTCCGGGTTCAGAGCCGCGGCGGCCTGCCGGGCTGTCCGGGTCCCCGCTGCGAGTCGCTGCATGTCGACCGGAGGTGAGGCCCAAACCGACACCAACACAGAACGTCTGAAATCCGGCTTTTAAAAAATCAGTTAAAGCGGCGACAAGGACAGACGCCGCTACTTCCGGACCCGGCATCAGGCCAGACTCCATTCAAAAAGGTCGCGATTTAGGAAGACATCGGGCTTTTATTTAAATTATGTAGCTTGTATACCTGAAAGCATGTGCTCAGTAGAATCAGGTTAAAGCCTCCTTTAATTCGGCAAACTTTAAAAACATTAAAGATTATTTACATCTAAAGTATTTTGTGTCTGTTTCTTCTGTCTTTAAAGAAACTCACCACTGAGCTTCATATGTTTATTATTGTTTGTATTTGGATAAAACCTGACAGAAGGTGAAGCCAGTAGAGGCCGAATTTACTGTTTGGAGCAGCTGACACGAGTAGAAAGGCTTTAACATGATAGTGATTCCTAAAAACATCAATAATTAGCATGTAGTCACGACACAGCAGGACGTTTTACAGGTAAAACAATAAACCACTTAAGTAAATGTATTTCACAGCTCTTCTGGACATTTAAAAACCCTCTTTGCACGCCGAAAACAGCTGATTTTTGTTTTTTAAAATGACCTTGATCAATTAATTGGCAGCAGACGAATCAATGCTATAAATAATGATGCTCCAGAGACGTGACTAAAGCTGGTAGATGAATAACACGAATGCTGCTGGAGCTGCAGGCACTAGTCTACAGGCTGAGGTCGTTCAGAGTTCACTGATGAAGCTTGTTGTTGTGTCTTCAGGGATTCCCACCGACGAGGAGCAGGCCACCGGGCTGGAGAAGGTCATCATGAAGGCCATGAAGGAGGGATCGGTACGTCACCAGAAAACGACTTTAACATGAAAAGATCAGAAATGATCCTTTAATCAGAGCAGATTCGACCTTTTACGGGAAACACTGGACGGATGAGAAATGAACTGAACCTGCAGCCGTGATTCTTCTAAACTGTGAAGCTTCAGTCTGCTGCTTAACGAGCTCCTAACGAGATTGTTTGAGTAAACCTCATCACTCTGACTGTCTCTTAATCAGCAGCTCGTTATGCTCAGAGTCGGTGTGAAAAACCAGCTGGAAGATGAGAACGTTCAGACGTGTTCTGGCTGTTTTTGGACATTTATTTACCTGCTATGTTTATCATTCTATATATTTATTTTTAAAATAGATTTTCTGATATTTTATACATTCTTTGGCCGTTCTCTTTTTATTTTTCTGACTGTTACGTCATTTTAAATTTTAATTTCTGACATTTTATTTACATTTTTGGGACACATGATTTTTCTCACATTTTAATCACTATTTTAAAATCACTCTTTACGCGTGTTATTAACGTTTGTAGCTCGTTAGGCCACATTTATTTAACGTTCAGATGTTATTTTAGACTAATTATTTATGAAAATATTTGTTGTGTATTTTATTACTGATAATATTTTAGGATTTTTAAAATATTTTTTGACACTATTATACGTTTACATACATTTAATTCATTTTCTATGTTTTCCTGACATTTTAATTTATCTTTTGCTGCAACAGCTGATCCCAGATCTGAGCAGAATCTCTGAGTTACACATACTTTAGTTGTGATGCTGGATTCAGGCTTAATAAAACCTGACCTGACCTCTGATGATGTGCTGATCAGCTGACCTGACCTCCTGCTGTGTCTCCAGGATCCCTACAACATGATGAAGCCCAAGTCCTACGCCGGCTCCAAGGCCGACCCCCACCTGGTTCCCTCCATCACCAACAAGAGGATCGTGGGATGCGTCTGTGAGTTTCCTGTTAGAACACAGAAACGTTGTTGGATGAATGTTTGGCACCAAAGTTGTGGCTCGTTGACGTCTGAAACTCAATATTTTTGTTCTGTGTCCTCAAAGAAAGCAGCATCAGCCCGAATATTTCTAGAATTTACGAGCAGGTCAACCAGGAAGTAGTTTCATTGTTTCATACTGGTTCACATTTAAAAAAGAAAACCTCAGTTTATGCAGCAGAACTTTCTTCTCTGCTCTGAGCTCCATTAGAAGCCTGTTTTCATCAGTCTACTGCCTCACTAACAGGTGCCAGGAGTGTTTCTTCTTCTTCTTCTTCTTCTTCTGCTGAACGTTTCCTGGCTTGTTGTGTGCAGGTGAAGAAGACAACACCGCCGTGGTTTGGTTCTGGCTCCATGAGGGTGAGGCCCAGCGCTGCCCGTCCTGCGGCTCCCACTACAAACTGGTTGCCCACGAGCTGCCCCACTAGCGCCCACCTCCCTCCTGATGCCTCCCAGATGTTACTCCAGCTTCAGAACAGGACCGAGAACAACCAGACCCATGTTCTCGGGCTCGGTGTATCTCCTGGTCTGCTCGGTCTCGGTCCTGTTCGGTCTCAGTACTTGATCTACCTGCTAGAACCTCGTCAGTCTTCACACGTTACATTCAGACGGATCAGATGTGGTTTCGGGACACAACTGTTTCTCTCTAAACATTTCCACTCAGTCAGTTTACATTGACAAGCGTACTGTACAGCGTTACACCTGGTCCACTTACCTCCTTTTTCTGACCCAATAAACTTTCTGAACTCCTGTTTGTGGACATCTTTGACTCTTTTCTTCCTGCTGTGTTGTTTAAAGGTGAAATTTAAAATTTTTTGATGTGACTATCGATTGAATTCTACCTGCAAAAAGTTACTAAAGTAATTTGAGCCCCAGTTGTGTGTTTAGGAAATGCAGCAGCAGGACTTTATGCCTATTTACGTATTTAGAGCACAGCTGGATAATATTTGCACTGTTTTAACTGTAAGAATAGAAGAGTTTAAAGTTTTCAGGCTGCACAACAAACTGTAAAACTAATTAAAAAGTTGTATTCTTTGAACTGTGTCACACAAAATACAGATTCTGCACTAAACTAACATCTGTCCCAGTATTATTATTATTATTATATAGAAATAAGTCTGATGTAATTGTTCACAGTTTAATCAACTTCAGTGCTTAATTTAAAGGCAGTTTAACCAAATATTACAAAATTCACTGTGGATCCGTTAAGCTAGCCACCTTTAGCAGGTGTTTAGCTGTTCAGTATATTCTTATTCTTTATTTTTCTTTAGCTTCTTTAGCTCATTCATGAGGACGAACAATCTGAACAAACAAAATGTCACTTCATATGGAATATTTTCCATTTCCAAACAACAACTAAGGAAAATCAACAACGAAACTTGGCTCCAGAGTTAGCAAAGACTAGCCTTGACTGTTTTAGGAGCTAGCTTTCACTTTATTTAGTGCTCTGACTTCAGCTGGATAGTGAGTGTTTTCATATGTTATGTAGAATAACAAACTGAATAACCAAAGCCTGACTTTATTAAAGTCAGACTTTTTAATTCCAAATAACAAACACTGTAAAATGAATAACTAAACTTACCTGTAGTTTTAGCTTCGGCTAACCGCAGCTAGCTTTCACTTGATACAACTTTCTGGCTTGAGCTGTGTATTTAGCTTCTCATAATATCGTGCTGTAGTTAGCTTGTTTTGATTACTTTAGCTATGCAGTTAGCTTCTTTTTTATAACTTTAGCTGCGTGGTTAACTTCTTTTTATAACTTTAGCTGTGTAGCTAGCTTGTTTTAATACCTTTCGCTGTGCAGTTAGCTTGTTTTAATTACTTTAGCTATGCAGTTAGCTTCTTTTTTTTTTATAACTTTAGCTGTGTAGTTAGCTTCTCTTAATTACTTTAACAGTGTGCTTAGCTTCTTTTAATAACTTTAGCTGTGTAGTTAGCTTCTTTTAATAACTTTAGCTGTGTAGTTAGCTCTTTCAAGGATGTTAGCTGTGTAGTTAGCGTCTCTTAATAACTTTAGCTGTGTAGTTAGCTTCTTTTTCTGGCTTTGGCTGTGTAGTTAGCTTATTTTTTTTAAAATAACTTTTTTATAACTGTACTTAGTTTCTTTTTTTTTGTTATTATTACTATTTTTATGAAGTTAGCTGTGTTATCTCTCTTTTTTCCTGCCAGCGGAGGGCAATAAGACGCCAAGAGTTGTCTGCGTTATAAAGAAGAAGAAGAAGAAGACGACACGTCATCACCGAGCGACCAGAGTGTGCTGACAGCAAAGAAGGAGAAATGGCTGCAAGGTTACTGCTTCGTTCAGCTTTTAGAGCTGGTACAGCCTGTCGGGCTACCCGGCAGGTCCCTGCCGCGGTCCGCTGCATGTCGACCGGAGGTGAGAGCAATGCCAAACGGCGTCTGAAATACGGCTAAAGCATCAGCTGACAGGGTTCATCGGTGGCAAGGACGGTTAATGCTACTGACAGTTTCCTGTCTCCGTGATATCGCTAATCTGTACACTGTAGCTCAGGCCAGACTTCATTTTAAAAAATATTAAAATCTTTTCTTTTTTTCTTCAGGCGGTTGCAAAATATGAACCAATGTCCTCAAAGACATTACGGCTAAAATGTCTTATTCGGCTCAACTGTAAGGACCGCCGACTTCATGCGGAAGACCAGCTAACTGTTAGCATTAGCTTAGCAACGTTAGCATGCTAGCGGCGAGAGGTCAAGCATCGATATCAATAATTTACTGAATGTTTTACTTAAAGTTGACAGTAGCTACAAACACACGTTGCTGAAGTGTTTTAGTGTTTTTGTGAAATAGTAGTTAAAGCGGGAAACTGAGGATGTTTTTCAAACGCTAGTGTTAGCTAGCTTAAAGGATCAAAACAGCTAGCTCAGTGTAGCTCTCTGGATGGATTCATTCATCTGGACTCTGCCTGGTTTTAGAAAGTCATCCAGAATGTGTTTATCAGAGTTTATCCACTCAGTTTATTGTCCTGCACAACTTAGAGGAGGACAAGCTTCAGTTTACTGTCAAGGAGAAGGAAAGAAACCAGAAAATATTCATATTTAATCAGCAGAAATCAGAGAATTTACTATTTTCTTTCTTAAATAAACTCTCAAACCAGTAAATTAGTTATGAATAATAATCTGTAACTACTCAATCAGTCCCAGTTTCATTTTTAAGTAAAAACTAAATCATATTTTCAGGCTTTTATCATGTTTAGAGAGCGTGTTTGCTGCTGTTCTTTGTAAAATGTCACCACACTTAATATTTGGGAGGATTTGTTGGTTTTGGGTCTTTTGGTCAAAGAAATAAAGACGTCCAAGGATGCCTCCCTCGTCTCTGTGACGTTTACTGTAGACGAACCAGTCACCTGATAAACTGAATAAAACAACCGCTGAATTAATCCAAACAGTCATTTTCCCAGTTTGTCGTCCTCAGACGTGTTTTTATGTTTTCAGGGATTCCCACCGACGAGGAGCAGGCGACCGGACTGGAGAAGATCATCATGAAGGCCATGAAGGACGGATCGGTAACACACTTCACCTTATTTCTATCAATACTGTTGGAGGAACTTTTGTCTCTGGGAAAGCTACTGGAAGTTTGGCCAGATTGTACTGGTCTATCCATGAACTTGTGTGCTGAAATAATCTTCTTTGCTGTTTTAGATGAATTCATGTCAGTATTTTGGTGTGAAGCTGCTGCGCTCGTTGTTTTGGTGTATTTGGAGTTTTTAACGTCTTGATTATCTTAATATTGATATTTGTGATTTTTACTGCAGCTCATGATACTCAGAGTCGGTGTGTGCAGACACCTTTTGGCGTAATTCAAAAATCCCATGTTTACCTTTTAGCATCCTGTAACTCCAGATCAGAAACTAGAAATCCTGTTTCCCTTTTAGCTCGACTGTCTCTGTGCATTTTAAACTCGTGTTTGTCTGAGTTCAGGAGGAGGGTTGCAAACTTTGAGAACAGAATCAGAGATTCCTGACCTTTAGGCTTTGAGTCAAAGTGACCGACTTTGTGTTGAGGCGACGAGACGCACAACAAATAATGTGAGAATCCCACAAGTTTAACTGAGTCTGTGGAGAAAAGTAGGATTCAGATCCTAGTTCTGCCCCAAAAGATCCAAACGCTGCTTTTATACATCATTCATCATCGTTATCACGACGGGATTCATCAAAGTCCACAAGTTGTTGGTTGTTTTTAGGCATCAACATGAAAATGAACTTAATTACAGGTTCCAGATAAAAACCAACACGTTACGTAGAATTCATCAGTTTCAGGTCAGACTGAGTTCAGGAACCAGCATCTGTGTGAGAACATTCATTAAAATCAGCCTCATCTGTAGTTAAACTCCAATATGAAGCAGCTTGTAGCTCTGAACACCTTGACCCAACACCTAGACCCAATACCTGGACCCAACACCTAGAGCCAACCCATAGGACCAACACCTAGAGCCAAC